ACGGCAGACGACCCCAGGACCCGCTTGGTCATGTGAGCAGAGGCAGACGCTCCGGAGGATGCAAGGAGCCACAAAATGCAAGGGGCCAGGAGCACCAGGCATGGCTGCTCCACCAGGAGGGCGCCCTCCTGCCCCTCCACCAGGCACAGAGCCTCGCCCCCACCACCTGCAAGGGTGCTGGCCCCACCTTCTGCCTCTGCAGCTCGCCAGGATCAGGCTCTCTCCACCTCTCCTCTGAACCGCAGACATGAAGGTGCATCTGGCTGGCAGGTCCTATAGCTCACCTACCTGGCTGTGGCTGTAGAGAAGGCCGGGAAAGTGGATTTCTGGAAAATAAGGAAGGGAATTCAGAAGGTGCAGGGGAGCCAGGAAGCCTCACCAATGACCACTACACTGACCCTGGCAACTTGAACAAAAAGAGAGCGGCTCATCTCACAAGAGCTGAGGAGGCTTAGAAAAGCTCCCTTCAGGTATGGCTGGACCTAGGCTCCACCAGCTCACCATGACACTCCCCTGGGCCATGCTTCCTGCAGCTGGCTTTGTTCCCAGGCTGCGAATGGTGACTCCCCACAACCCAGCACCTTCAGGTTCATTTGGTTACCATGCCCAGGCCAGACGCAGAGGCCACCAGAACTGAGCCCCAATTGGCTGACCCAGATCATGAGCCTATTTCAAACCAGTCACTGAGGCAGGGGCCTCAGGGGCAGAGAACAAGGGTCTGAACTGTTTTCAGGGAAGGATCCGATAGTATTTTCATCTGTGGTCAGGCTGTCTCTATTGCCCTGACTCAGTATCACTGGTGGGTCAGGAAAGCAGCCACAGATGATATGTAAAAGAAGGGGGTGTGGCTGGGTGTCAATAAAACTTTATTTATAAAAATAGGCTTCGGGCCAATGCCACACTAAACCAAGCTGCCCAGAGCACTTCATCCCACCAAGCCCTTAAGGAAACTTGGGGGTGACAGGGCCGCAGGACCAGAGTGGGGTGATCCTGGTCAAACCCTCCTCAGAATCCTAAAGGCCCGAAGCTACCAAGGGCTGCCGCACAGTTCCCAGGGGACGCCAGTAGATTTTCACTGGAGGAGTTCTGAGAAGCAACCCCAAGATTCAGGCAGGCTGCTTTAGGGGCAGGCGGTGTCCCCAGCAGAAGGAGTGGCCCTGGGCCAGGTGTCAGAGGCCAGCGGTGTGAGGGGGCCAGAGCAGCGGCTAGGAGTTCAGGGCATCTCTGGAGAGGGCTCAGGGTCCCAGGACCTGGCACATTTTGCAAACTTAGATCCCAGGGTCGGAGAGCTCACTGGCCTTGAGTCCTCCGCCAGCCACTGCCAGCCTCGCCTGCCTGCCTCCCCGCCCTGATGGGCCGGGACACCCTCCTCCCCGCCCCAGGACTGCAAAGCTCCCCGCCCTGAGGCCCTCCCACTACCACCTCTGCCTGGAGATGGCCCCAGCAGGGAGTGCGTAGCAGGGCTCAGCTACCACCTCCCCTGAGGATGCCAGGAGGGATGGTCACCTCCACCGCAGCTCTGTCCCACTCGCAGGTCCCCTGGACATCAGGTCAGCCACTAGGCCCATGCAGCGCAGCCCTGGCTGAGGGCTGCCCCTCCTGCCCGGTCCCTGGCCCTCCTGAAACTTGTTCACAGGCCTCGGTGAAGCTCCCTTGAGAGTCCCCCACAGCAGTCCTCTGCCTGGGGCCTGGCTGCACAGCACCCCGCACGGCCGCAGCCTCAGCAAGGGCTGTCCTCTCTCACACCCGAGGACCACAGGGCTGAGGCCAGGCAGGCAGCCCGCCGCACCCCACCCCCAGGCACGTTCACCCCCAGAACGCACACCTTGGATCCCCAGCCGCGGCCTACATAGCACCCCCATCCCCCGGCAGGCACCGTCCCCCCGTGCCATGATGCTGTGCGATGCAGTGTGTCCCTGTCCGCTGGGGGACCGTCTGACCCCTGGGTAGCTCAAAATGTGTGATGAAGGGAAGACGGAATGAGTCTGGAAGCTCCCTCCTCCAGGGCAGGGTCAGCCTCTCCAGGCCGCCCCAGGTGCCCAGCAGCAGCTTCTGGGCTCCAGCCACCTGGCTCAGGAGCAGAGACAGCAAGGAGACTCCACCCCACGCTGGACGTTGCGAGCGGTGGAGGCAGCAACTGTCCACTCCGGAGTTTAACAGAGACAGTTCCTCCGGGTCCTGAGTGTGGCCATGTGAGGAGGGGCCCCAGCTCCACAGATGTGGCTGAGATCCCACTTTGGAGAAATCCACAGTTTTTCTTCCTAACAAGGTGATTGTTTTGGGGTGATCACCTGCAGGTGACAGGCGGGGCCCTTCGTACCAGACCTGGAGCTGGGCCAGGCTGCGGGGTTTTCGGCCGAACTTAGAGTCCCAGGCCAAGGAGGCTGATTAAAGGGCTTTCTCTGAGCCTTTGAAATACAGAGAAAGGACGCAGCACTTGTCTGGGACTGAACTGGAATATTTTTCCATCCTTGACAGGGGGGCCCAATGGTGTGGGTCTGAATTTTGCTGCTGTGTCTCCGTCCTTTTTAGAACGCTGACACAGCTCCTGCCTGGGAAAGGGGAGCAGCATAGTTCATTTCTGTGCATTTATATGAAGGCTGTCACTCACTCCTTCATCCCCTGATGAGAGGCCAGGCCTTGGGCCAGCAGCGACAGCCGCCATCTGTATGGCCCTGGACCCTGTACACCAGACGTCACTGTCCACGGGTCTGACAGGGCCTCCCCACTCACAACAGATGCACGCCGAAGGGGCACTGGGGGGTCGGGTGAATCTGCGCCGTCTCGCGGCCTCCGCTCACACTGGCTCTGAGACCCTGGGCACAGACCTGGCACCTCAGGGCCTCTGCATGCTGCTGTGTGTGTGCAGGACCCACCCGTAGCAGATGCAGTCTGCTGGCTGCCTGACGCCCCTTTCCCACCTCACAAGGTTCCATTCTTAGGGCTCATGGTGGCCAGGGGACATCGCCCTGGCCAACACAGCATTGGCACAGGTCAGCTGGGGAGGGGCACTCCAGGAAGACTCTTACTGAAGGGACAGCTGTGCGTCTCAGGCAGCCAGAGGGCCAGGCCAAGCTTCAGGGTCCTGACCACGGGAGGCTGGGGAAGGATAGAGCCCCGCCCCGACAGGCCCAGCCACCAGCAGCCCTGGAAGGTCAGGCTCCCGGGTTCAGGCCACCACAGTGCCAGTTTCTGTTTGCTGCACCCAAGGGCTCCTCCCTACTCCCAGCCGAGGGCAGGTGTGAAGGTGGCCCTGGTGAGGTACCCAACACCCTTCCAGCCTTGTTCTAACCTGATCACCTCTTGAGATCACCATCTCCAAATACAGTCACACTCTGAGGTCTTGGGGATCTAGGGCTTCAAACATAGAAATCTCCGGACATGCCATTCAGCCCCTAACAGTGCCCCACGGCAGGACACAGGGCTTCCCACCTGTGACGCCCAGCCCATCCTGGGAGGAAGGGTTTGTGATCACAGGACCGTCACATCACGCAGCACTTCTCGGCCATCTCAGCTGCACACAGCAACACAAAGGAATCCCAGATCCACAGTGCTGAGCAGAAGCAGCCACACACAAGTGCCGGAAGGTTCCGTCCACGTAAAGGGCAAACCCAGGTGAACTCATCTGTGACATCAGAGGTCAGTGTGAGCTTACGAGGGTCCTACAGCAAATGGCCACAAACTCGGTGCTTGAAACAACAGGAATTTATTCCATCAGCCCGAAAGCACCAGGAATTTATTCTGTCAGTCCGAAATCACCAGGAATTTATTCCTTCAGTCTGAAGTCACCAGGAATTAACTCCATCAGTCTGAAATCATGGGACTGTATTCCATCAGTCTGAAATCACCAGGAATTTATTCCCTCAGTCCAAAATCACCGGGAATTTATTCCATCAGTCCGAAATCACCGAGAATTTATTCCATCAGTCCGAAATCACTGGGAATTGATTCCATCAGTCCGAAATCACCGGGAATTGATTCCATCAGTCCGAAATCACCAGGAATTTATTCCTTCAGTCTGAAATCATGGGACTGTATTCCATCAGTCCGACATCACCAGGAATTTATTCCGTCGGTCCAAAATCACGGAATTTATTCCGTCAGTCTGAAATCACCAGGAATTTATTCCGTCAGTCCAAAATCACCAGGAATTTATTCCTTCAGTCTGAAATCGTGGGACTGTATTCCATCAGTCTGAAATCACCAGGAATTTATTCCTTCAGTCCGAAATCACCGAGAATTTATTCCTTCAGTCTGAAATCGTGGGACTGTATTCCATCAGTCCGAAATCACCAGGAATTTTTCCATCGGTCTGAAATCACTGGGAATTTATTCCGTCAGTCTGAAATCAGCAGGGTCTTGCTCCCTCTAAAGACTCCAGGGAGAACCCTCCCTGCCTCTTCCGGGCTCTGGGTCCGCCTGGTTTCCTGGGGTTGAGGCTGCACCGCTCCAGCCTCTGCCCCGTCTCCCATGGCCTTCCCCTCTGAACGTGTCCATGTGTTTTCTTCTTTGCGAAATCCCCTCTGCCTGTTCTAAAGATGCATGTGGTGGCATTTAGCTCCCACCTGGATAATCCAGAAAAACCTTCCATCTCAGAACCCTTACCTCCATCGCCTCTTCTCCCTGTAATGTGACATTTCCAAGGACTGAGATGTGGCCACATCTTTGGGGCCACCGCCAAGCCAGGACAGGTGGAAACTTTAGGACCTGGAAGGGCTCAGGGTGGGGACTAGAAATGAAAATAAGCGCCCATTGTTGAAGCAGCTCCGTCAGTGGCCCTCTGCCATGGCTGTGGGCTGACGCACCTGCCAGGCAGGCCTGAACCCCTGCCTCCGTGGGCCCTGCGTGGCTGTGCTACGTATGAGGTGCACGCTCCTGTGCGCCCCCAAGCAGCCTGTCATCTCTGAGTCCTGATCTGGGTTCAGTTTGTGCTACGTGCACTTCTCTGTGCATATTACACTTAACTCGGGCTTGAAACATTCTTTCCTTCCATTTTGCAGTTTGCAGGGGAGGTCCCCGAAAACCGTGTGGAGACCGTGGTCGCAAACCTCACCGTGATGGACCGAGATCAGCCACACTCGCCAAACTGGAATGCCGTTTACCGCATCATCAGTGGGGATCCCTCCGGCCACTTCAGCGTCCGCACAGACCCCGTCACCAATGAGGGCATGGTCACCGTGGTGAAGGTGCGTACTTTTCTCACACCCTGCCAGGCACCCCAAGTTCTGCCACCTGCACACTCCCTGGGACCAAACAGGAGTGATACTTGGTATAAAGTTAGTGTGCCCCTAATATCCAAGGGCAGAGGCAGGTGACCCAACCTGCTGTAGTCAAAGACAACCTTCGCAAGGACCAGTTGTGCGACCTTCAGGGGCTTGGCAGAGTCCCCCAAAATACCCTCCTATTCCCTTTCTGACATCTATGTATTTGCCCCGTCCCTTAATCTAGTAATGGGTGAATTTCACTGTGATAATTCCCAGTGTCAAACCATCTTTGCATTCCTGAGATAGAGCCCACTGAGTAGTGAGGTAATCTTTGTAACATATTGAAGAATTTGTTTTGCTGATGTTTAAAGTTTTTCATGTACTTTTCTGGGTGATTTAGGCTTTGGCTTTCCTTTCCCATAGCGACCTCATCTGGCTTTTGCTCTCAAGGTTACAGACTAATCTCAAGAGATGCGCTGGGAAGTGTCCCTTTGTTCTCTGTCCCAGAGACGGGTCATGGGATGCTGTAATAATCTGTGGAATTTTGGTCACACTGTGCCGTGAAGCCATTGAGTAGCTGTAGATTTTGTATTTTTGATTGTGCCTCTTTCTGTTGGAGAGAGATCGGTTTGTAGCTGCTGGTTCAATTTCTTTTGATGATTTTGGTCAGATATGTTTTTCTAGAAAAGTGTCCATTTAATCTAAACTTTCAAATGGACTTATAAAGTCCCAGTCCTGTCATTATAGTAGTAGCGATTCGGTCTTCTAACCTAAGTCTTTTTCTACACTTATAATTCATATTCCCCCGGAAGGGCAGATTATAAATTATATAATAACACTTAGCGTTCATTTACAATGTAGTATGAAGAAGTTTGCAGCCGCTGTCCCAGAGCAATTCTGAATAGCACTAAGAAGAAAAGCACAGAGCACATCAGACACAGTTAGAGAAAAGAGGGGAAGAGAAAGGTGAGCGGAAAGCTGGGTAGGCTATGCCGATACATAAGGAAAAGCAGGTTTAATTTTGGGTTGGATCATTTACAAATTTCTTCAGCTGCCAGGAGCACAGACTTGACCACAGATGTCCTCGATACTCAAGAACTTTATTCTCTCACGTGAGAGGAGTCCTGAGGTGGGCAGTTGGGGTTGATGTCACAGCTGCATAATCAGCAGAAACTCTGGCCCTTTCTATCCTCTGCTCTGCTGTGCACACCTTTCAGCTTCTAGGGACCCTCGTGGTCCAAAATGGCTGCTAGAGTGCCAGCCATTCCAAGACATTTACAAGCAGTAGAAAATCAAAAATGGGGAACAACAGTTTGCCCCTCCTTTATTTGTTTTTTTTGTTTGTTTGTTTGTTTGTTTTTTGAGACGGAGTTTCGCTCTTGTTGCCCAGGCTGGAGTGCAATGGCGCGATCTCGGCTCACCGCAACCTCCGCCTCCTGGGTTCAGGCAATTCTCCTGCCTCAGCCTCCTGAGTAGCTGGGATTACAGGCACGCGCCACCATGCCCAGCTAATTTTTAGTATTTTTAGTAGAGACGGGGTTTCACCATGTTGACCAGGATGGTCTCGATCTCTTGACCTCGTGATCCACCCGTCTCGGCCTCCCAAAGTGCTGGGATTACAGGCTTGAGCCACCGCGCCCGGCCTGCCCCTCCTTTATTAAGGGGCCTTCCCAGAACACCTGCTCACATCTTACTGGGCAGGGTTTAGTCACGTGGCCATTCCTAGCCAGAGGAGACACTGCACAGCAGTGACGGGCACATCTCCCAAACTCCTCCTGACGAAGAGGGGAGGGAGCCGGACGTCGGGAGCCACGGGGAGGAGAGCAGGCTCTCCGGGATCTGTGTCTTTTCCCACCACCCAAGGCCATCTTCTTCCTTTTCTTAATAACCCTTTTTCCAAGCGACCTGGTGAAGACCAGTTCTGCTGAAAAATCTTATAAATGTCTCCATCATTTTTACTTTATGAAATATTCAACATACAGACAAGCAGAAAGAATAGTAAAATGAACTTCCATACACCCATCCCCTAGATTTCATTAGCATTTTGGTACATTTACTAAATCTTTTTATTTTGGCTGATGTGTTTGGAAGTAAATTAGTATGTCACAGCATTCCAACCCTAACCGTGTAAGCTTTCTTCTCCCAGAGAGGCTGGTTTTTCACCCGAAAGATAGTTCTTAGAGAAGAGGCAAGATACACATTTCGCTTTCCCTCTAATTATGAATTTTCAGAGTGGGGCATCAGTAATCGCACCCCAGTGGCAAAGTCAGATCTGTGTGCGCAGGGACGGGACATGGCGAGGGAAGCGTGACAAACCTTCCTCCTTTTCTCTGGATGCATTTGACCTCGAGCTAGCGTTGTAGCTCTGGCCCCTAGAAACCACAAGGTGAACCATCAGCCACTGTGCTGGCAACATTGCTCATGGGAAGGCGACGGAGATTGGAGGTGACATGCAGGCAGAGGAGAGGGACGAGCCGTGAGCCCAGGGCTGGCTGGGGCCTTCCCCGGGGAGCAGTGAGCCTCGGCCCACCTCCTGCTTGTGATTCCAGGGAGACCTCTCTGACTCCCACAGCTCAGATTCTGTGGCCTTCACGGGGAGCACCAAGGTCACCCCCCAACCCCAGGAGAGCAGCACCTGGCTCGCCTGTCCTGCGCCTGGAGTGCCACTTCTGCAGCTGGAGCACACACAGCCCCGCCACCTTCATGAGCCCAACATAGATCAGAAAGGGCCAGAACAAAGGAAGAAGCCTGGCTGGGCGTGGTGGGGAAACCTGACCCCTAAGGGCTCCAGGGAAGGTGGCTTCCTGCATGCCCAGTTCGTAACAGGGCTGGTGGCCTCAGCCGTCTTGGACCTGCCTGGCCCCATCTGCACAGAGCATCACAGCCATAGAAGGTGAACAGCACAGCAAGCTGCAGGGAAGCACCAGTGTCCTGGAACTGCGTGGACCTCATGGCACTGGGCCAGGCCCTCTACAGGCCCACAAAGTCCCTCTGCAGGCCCACAAAGTCCCTCTGCAGGCCCACGGAGCCCTCTGCAGGCCCACAGAAACCTCTGCAGGCCCACGGAGCCCTCTGCAGACCCACAGAGTCCTCAGCAGGCCCACGGAGCCCCTCTACAGGCCCACGGAACCCTCTACAGGCCCACGGAACCCTCTACAGGCCCACGGAACCCTCTACAGGCCCACGGAACCCTCTACGGGCCCATGGAACCCTCTACGGACCCACGGAACCCTCTATGGGCCCATGGAGCCCTCTACAGGTCCACGGGGCCCCTCTGCAGGCCACGGAAGCCTCTTTTGTTCTTCAGAGAGGAGCCACTGGATCCAGGCGTGCAGCACAGACGAGGCTGTGAGGCATGGTCGGGAAGTCCCAGGAGGACCTGGGGCCGCCACCCCCGGAACTGATTCCTGAGGTGGAGAATCGTCGCCTTCGGGTTCTTCCTCTAGCTGGGGATGCTCCTGAGAAGGCTGCGGGTGACTGACTCCCCCAAGGCTCAGCTGCCTTGCAGCTGTCTTCCCCAGCAGGAAGGCCCTGTCCAGCAGGCACATGGGGCAGGGAGGTGCTGATGGCGGCCAGGAGGGCACCGCCGGGCACATTCACTGACTTTCTGTCATGTGGCAGCTTGGCAGCCAGCCACCCTCTGCTGAGTTTGTGCCATGCCCCCTCCCCAACCCATCAGGGTCTGCTGCCCGGCTGCACCCTCTCCTTGTCAGACCTCTGTCTACACAGTAAGAGTGGCGTTTTCCGAAGCGTGTTCACAGAATGCTGATTCTTAGGGTGTTGGCAAGCGCTGCCTGCAAGGGCCACGTTCACGGCTCAAATCTCCCTGTCGCCTGTGCCTCCTGCCCCCCAACAGCTGGTCATCAGTGGCACTAAGGCCTTCGAGGGGCCTGTGAAAGGAAGATAGAATCTCAGGACCCCGAGGGCAGTGGAGCCTGGGGACTGAGTCTCATGGTGCTGTCTCCCTTCTGTGGCCACCCAGGAGCTGGGGTTCACATACCCTGACTTCTGTGAAACGCAGATCCCCCGAGTGCTGAGCAGAGCCTCGCAAGGAAGTAGACCCTGTCTCGTTGGGAAAAAAGCGCAGGACACAGATCCCACTGGACTCGTGCATCTTTTTCCTGGGTGAGGACTCAGGCTCAGCAGAATAACCCTGGAATCAACTGAAGTCAGTGCGGACTCAGCCTCGGCAGAATAACCCTCAGATCGACTGAGCTCGCGGTGCGGGCTCGGCCTCTGCAGAGCAGCTCCGGAATGGACTCAGATCTTGCAGCCGCATCCCTCAGGCCTGGGACATGTAGAGACCTGCCATGCTCAGTGGAACAAACATGTCCCCTGCCTGGTGACCCGCTTCTCCCACAAGAGCCACAGAAGCTGGAAAGGCTCCTGCCACGCCTCACCCACAGGCAGGCTGGCACCCACCAGCCGAAACCCAGAGGTGAAAGTCTGCAGATTTTCAGATTTGGGGCTTGGGGTGCATTTTGCCTTTTCACAGCAGCCGTATCCCCCACCAGGCACCAGGAGGAGCAAACCAGGTTCCCACAGCAACACCTACTTCACGTGCCCTCGAGGGAAGGGGCGTTTGGGCCATGGGAGGGCCCAGAAAAGCTGTGGCTGGCCCGAGTCTTCATGATCCAGAGAACTAGCATCACCCCTACTTCTGCTGCACATCCCCAGATCTCCAGCACCTCAAAACTGCCAGGGAACCTCAGGCCAGGCCCCGGCGTGATGAGCTACAGTGAACATTGCAGCCAACATTGATCGGGCACCAGTGCCAGCTGTGCCATCCTCACCCCTGATCTCACTTGGTCCTCGCACCCACCAAGGAGGTGCTGTTCTTGTCCCGTTTCACAGATGGCATAACTGGGGGCCCGCACGCAACACAGCCGGAGACGTTACAAGCCAGGGCAGGAACTGGCTCCCTCTGCCATAAAGCCATCTGTTAACTGTCCAGTTCCTCGCTGGCCCTGCCCATCTGAGCC